ACGTTTTATCCACAATCACACTCATTTAGAATCAGAATCGCCAAAATTTCATCTGATGTTATCAAAAAATGATTTGACATTTCACTCTGACAGCGGCTGTCACCTCAAAAATCATTGCAATTAACTAAAAAAACATTGGGAGGTGTTGAATTGTTGCTATTTATTTTCGATTGTTTATCGACTCCATTTGTAACATATTTGTAAAAGTGTGAAAGTTGTAAAGGTTGTAAAGGTAAAGTTGGTGAAAAATGGAAGAAAGTGATTATGTTTTCAAGTTAATTCTTGAGGAAGCTGAAGAAGCAATTGTCCAATTATTGCCTGCAAAGTCCAGGGAACATTACGAAAAAGTATTTTCCGAGTTTAATGAATGAAAAGAAAAACGGAGGGTAATAACAATCAATAAATGAGGAAGTCTTGCTATCGTATTTCTTAAATTTGAAGAAGAGGTATGCAATTTGATCCATGTGGTCGAAGTATTTGATGCTGAAAGCAATTAGAAGATAATTAATTAATTATGACAATTACAAGCTGATTAATAATGGAAAGGTAGTAAAATATGACAAATCAAAAAATGAAATGTCTAGTAACTTTATTCCACTAGTGGATAAAGTGGTACTTTATACGGTTCATAAGTGTGGATAAAACTACAATTATAAGGTGATTGTGGATAAAAAATATTAATATTATTTACGAATGAAGGCAACACTCAAGCAACGAATCAGCGAATATGATTTACTATGTGAACTATTCGCTGCAGGACGTATTTAAAAATCTTCTGGAAATCTTTATAACTGTCTAGAAAGCGTTTAAACAATATTTGATAATTATAGAGACCATTAGAAACCTTCTGGACATCTTTAAAGTTTCCTAGTTTATTACTAGAAGTAGAACTAACACTAGAAGACATAGAAACATTCGGGTTTAGCCATCTTGAGAGACCAGCAAAAAGTTATTAGAAAGTTTCTAGGCACTTCTGGGCATCTTTAAAAATCTTCTGGAAATATTTATAACTGTGTAGAAAGCTTTTAAACACTATTTGATAATTATAGAGACCACTAGAAAGCTTCTGGAGACTTTTGGATATCTTTAAAGTCCCCTAGTTTATTACTAGAAGTAGAACCAACACTAGAACTAGAAACATTCGTGTTTAGCCGTTTTGAGAGACGAGCGAGAAATCATTAGAAAGTTTCTGGACATCTCTGAAAATCTTCAGGAAATCTTTATAATGCGTTTAAACACTATTTGATAATTACGGAGACTATTAGACAGCTTCTGGACACTTTTGGACATCTATAAAGTCCCCTTGTTTATTACTAAAAGTAGAACTAATACTAGAACTAAAAACATTCGGGTTTAGTCGTCTTGAGAGATGAGCGAAAAATCTTTAGAAAGTTTCTAGACACTTCTGGACATCTTTAAAAATCTTCTGGATCCCCATTTATTCATTTATTTCCCCATTTATCCCCCATTATATTTTATATCGCCATTTATTTCAATCCTCATTTATTCATTCAGTTAGAATATTTTCTAAAAACATGTTGCCTGAAGCTGACTCAAATTTGAGTACTGATGAGAGGGTTCATAACAGTGCCTATGACAATGATAGCTGTCATATATTTTTTCACTGTTTTCATAAAAGATGTTAATAAATTTGATAAACTCTACTTTTTATGTGTTTTTTTTAACACAATTTTTGTGATCTGATTAGTTATCTACGTTTATTAATTTTTTTTATACAGGGTGTCACACAAAAAACGCCCCAAGCTGTAACTCTGTCATTTACATTCCGATTTTCATGAGCGGGTTATCAAATGAAATGGTTTCATGAATACTATGATTCATGCTACAAATAAATTTTTTCCAAGGCCGTCTTCAATTTTAAGAGTTTATTAACTTTTCCTTTTCAAATTGTTCTATATATTTTTCTTTACGTCATTGGATAGAGATTGCTTTTCTGAATCCACTGATGTACAATACATCCATTTTGAATATAATTTTAGTAGAGAAAAGACACCTGTGTATACAGGTTGCCACACAAGAACGCCGCAAGCTGTAACTCTGTCATTTACCTTCCAATTTTCATGACCTAGCTATCAAATAAAATGGTTTCATGAATACTATGATTCATGCTACAAATAAACTTTTTCCAACGCCATCTTCAATTTCTAGCGATTATCAACATTTGATTTTCAAATTGCTCGGTATGTTTTTCTTCAAGCTATTGGATAGTTTTTTTTTCTGAATCCATTAATGTACAATACATCAACATTAATTGTAATTGTAGCATAGAAA